ATTACTTTGAACCAAAAATCCAAATTTGAAGAAAATTGCCGATCTGAAGGTATACTGTAACCTTAAAATGTTTACTAACTAAAAATAACCTTACATAAAGCCATCACAACAGTGTAACTGTTACCACATGAAGAGTTTGAGGTACAGGGTCATTATACTCAGCAGGCCTCTCACTCTCACTCTCATTCAAGATGCATTAATAGCAAATTCAAAATGCAAGGTTCAGTTCCATGTAGGTGATTGGGTTGCCAAAATTGAAACTTCAAAAAGTGTAAAGGTCTGTTTCAAGCTGCAGTAGGAAAGCTACAATAGCTTTCATCACAGGTCACTGATTGTTAAGCCTGAAAAATACTGGAATAAAATAAATTAAGCATAAGCATTGTAACTGACCCTTAGTCTTAGTGGACCATGATTTTAGTTGGGCAGACATTTTTGGCCAAATTGAATAGATGTGGAGGCAGCATGGCCTAGTGGTTAGGGCAATGGATTTGCAATGCGGAAGTCCCAGGTTGAAATCCTCTTCCCTGCCACTGGATGGATTTGTCTTTGATGGTCCCAGATTCAACTCCTCCACACTTTGTAAATAGCCAACTGGTCAGTCTCCTGCCAGTTGGGATTTTTAAGAAGTTTCTGTTTAATTAACCATATTTGTTAACTCATTTCAGTGTCCTCAAGACTTTGACACTTAAATAAAGTGCTTGATTGATTGATTAATTGATTGATTGATTGATTGATTGATTGATTGATTGATTGATTGATTTAATTATTTATTTATTTATCATGGTTTCAAATCAAATTACTGAATTTTATTGCTTTCTATTCTTACCAACTATTACTTGACTTTTCAATTATCAAGTTGTGTTTAATAATTAAATGATGAAGTTTTAAATGTGTGTGTAATGTATAAAGAATATTCCAAATCACAGTAAACACAGAGCATATTATAAACTTCTTTAGTGACACAATGGGCAGGGCATGCTTGGGAGTACTTCCGAACGGCAGAGCTTTCAACTTACGATGGGTAAGAAACAGACTTAAATAAGTATACCCTATTAAATTGACATTATACTGTTATTACCTCCTTTGACAGTAATATCATAAATAACTATAACATGTGAAAATAAATTCTTTTCAATCTTATGATAATAAATTTAACATCAAATCTTTCTACCTGTAATAAAATGTAAATCATTCTTAAGACAAGGAAGCGCTACAATTGAAAAATCTATAATTACTAAAATGAAAACTTCTATTTGACAAACTGAAAGTAATATGGCATGTGTGACAGAAACAGAAGTGCACTTTTCTGACATCAGGAAGTCACAGTATCACTTTAAAGCTTTTGAATCACTGGTCAAGTAATAAAGTAAATGGGAATGCGTAATTTTATTTGTCAACAAAAATTTGCCACAATATGTTAACAACTACCGGTATTATTATTTGATTTATTGATATTAATTGGTTGTTTATTGATGTTATTTTTATTCTCCAGGGTAGTGTGTGTTGGTGGTGACGGCATTGTGCATGAAGTTGTGAATGGATTATTAGAGAAGTTGCATGGGAATGTTGGAATTGATTTGGTTGATGGCACATTACCTGAGAAATTCAATGCCCTTCCACTTAACATACGAGTTGGTATCATTCCTGCTGGTGCGTCATTTGCTATCTTCAGTTGATTTAGGTAGCAGAGTCTTATAATACAGTGCATCTCGTTTTTGTTTGGTTTCATCCAAACACTGAGTAGGAGCAGGGATGGCGTAGTGGTGAGAGCGATCGCTTGCCACCAATGTGGCCCTGGTTTGATTCTGACCCAGTGCCATATGTGGGTTGAGCTTGTTGTTGGTTCTCGCCTTGCTCCAAGAGTTTTCCTCCTGATTCTCCGGTTTTCCTCCCTCTACGAAAACCAACATCTCCAAATTCCAGTTTGACCAGGATAGAGGCCCTGCATGAAAACCAGCTAAGGCTGATGGGGCTTCATTGCTAAATATTGTAATTTAATATTTTAAAATGTTATTAGTTGAATGTGTAACTTGTAATACAGCCTGTGAAGGGTGTCACTAGTTAGTATTGCAAGTTTTACTTTTATTATAGTATAAATGTGAATGGCTGTGCCATAAAACAAAATGAAAAAGACCTGTTTGGCCATCTGCATCCTTGTTTTACCTGTGTATTGAAAATGCAATTGTTAATGAAAATGTTATGATATTGAGAACCCTGTATCATATATAACTAGAAACTGCTTCCACCTACAGCTGGAGTAAGGTCCAGTATTATGACTTTTACAACGTTTTTTAAAAAAGTACCTTCACTTGAGTAGATCAATTGAATGGTTATTACAATGTACTGTTGTACAATAATATTCTTTTTGTGTTTACATCAGATCTTTTTCCCTTAAAACATTGAATCAGTATTTTTGAGTCTGAGGAAGTTTGTTAGTCTCTGGTGCTGTGAATTTGGCAGTCAGATAATGACAAGAGCACATTACTGTTTATCATATGAAGTCAGTGTTAAACTACATGTACATGTTCTATCATTCTTATTTGTACATGTAGGTTCTACAGAGGTGATTGTTTATTCAGCTCAAGGTGTAAACGATCCTGTAACATCGGCTATGCACATCATTTTCGGTATATATTTTATCATTTTAAATTTCTATACTTCTTGTAGATGTATTTATAATTGTAGTCACAAAGTGTTGTCCTTATCACAGAATATAGCTTGTTTAATACATACACTGTAGTGGAATAACTTGTACTTTTGTTTTTATAATTTTTGTCCTTGGGGTGGAATATAATTATGTGGATGTGCTGATTGAAGGTGTAAATCCATTAATTTTTCAAATTAGTATATGTCACTTAATACTTTGTGGTTTTCTCTGTAGATATGTTTGGTAGATCCCTTGCCATTCTTATTCAACGGGTTTCCAGTGTTAGTGCAACTCCTCAAGAATGTAATAATTGCGTTCTCAAGAGTTGCACTAACACTAGAGTCTCTCTAAAGGCACTGCTATACTACAGTAGCAATGTTTTCCAAACTGTGAAACATTTAGAAAAGTTCTGAACAACAATACATAATTATTTGCAACAGGTAATACCATATCACTTGACATTTGTTCTCTGTGGAGTGACAACAAACACATCAGATTCACTTTTTCATTGGCCTATGGATTCTTGGGCGATGTCCTGAAGACAAGTGAGCAACATCGCTGGATGGGTCCCAAGAGGTACAAATGGGGTGCTGCCCGAAGGCTGTGGAAATTGAGGTATGCTGTGTGTTCAACCTAGGGAAATGTGCCCCCTAACCTATTATGATAATAATTATTGTAAATATATTAGTAGTGTTGTTGAAGGGCAGCCCTTTTTCGTCAGCAGACTACTTAGTTAAAGCATGGTGTAAGAGTAAAGTCCTCATCCCTGTGCAATAGCCCAGGGCTAGCGGATTTTTCTGTCAGGATGGTTGATCTGTTTTTAGACAAGTGACATTACTCTGCCTCTTAAAATACAGTGCTGTATTTTGGACCGGTATGTTACGTAGGTTTTAAACAATAGTTTTTGTGCTTTTTATTCATGTAGGTCATATGATGTGGAAGTGAGTTATCTACCAAGTTCTTTTCCTGAACACCATCCAAGAGATAACACTAGGTGTAGAATAGGGTAAGTACATTCATGTTTAATGTTCACTTCCAGAGAATATCCACAGCTAACCAAGGATCATTGAAATTCTCCTGAGAAGGGGACTTTAAAAGTTTGAGGATAGTTTGATGCTCAACTGGAGTTTCTTCAATGGGATGGGGAGGGGAGGTAAAGGGTTAGGGTTAAACCTTAAACCTATGAGAGAGGCATGGCTGTTTTCAGCAATGACACAGTGTAACCACAACCAACTCTTACTCAACTGGCATTTTTCAATTTAGGTGTGAGGTGTGTAATAAAGAAGATGATGGTAGCGATAATGAACAAAACCAAGGTACAGGTATTAAAATTAATTTATTAGTTTTTTTTCTAATTTCCATTCTTACAAGCTGTGAAATGAAAGTTTCTATTGATGCACATTGTCATCGTACAAGGTTTGAATGTTGACAAGTGACCCCGTCCACCCCTTATGATGCACCATGAAATATTTTTGATATAAATAATTTTATCAACAGACTGGAAATCATTTCACTCTCGTGTTGTCGGAGTGAATTTTTACACTCTTCCCAACATATGTGAAATATCACCAGATGGTCCTTCACCCAGCTGTCATTTGGGAGATGGTTTCACCGACCTTGTCATCGTTAAAGAATGCTCAAGACTTCAAATGCACTCACATATACAACGGAACTTTAATTCTAAAGACCAGGTTAGTTTTTAGTCATGTCTGAAATCCCTATGTTCCTAGAACCCAAATAAAAAATATATAAAGAGAAACAAGAATTTGCAGTGGCACATCCCATAGAGAACCTCTTTATCCACAGTTTTCTGGATCGAATTGGAATTTAGAAGTGTTGGTTTCTTTGGAGGGAGGAAAACCAGAGAATTCAGACAAATACCCTTCAAACAAGGATGGGAACCAACATCAAACAACCCCTGTTTTGACACCAGGTCCAGGATTCAAAACCAGGCTGATTGTTGGAACGCTAACATTCTCACCACTGCACTATCACTGCTCCCCAAGTTGTTTTTGTTGCTGTCTGTTTTAAGGAATTTTGCTTTCTTAGAGGTGCCTCTGCTTACAAACATTAATAGTTCATAATCACGCCATTTATGGATCAGAGTTGTTTTGTCATATTCAGGTCAGTCCCTGTGAATAACTTTGACTGTTACCAAGTTTCCATGTGAAGTACTCAATTTTGCAGATCTTTGATCATGTTATTCACTTTTCTTCTCTGCAGTTTGCACTTGATTTTGTTGAAACACACCGCATCAAAGAATGCCATGTAAGTGCCTATCGCAAGAGTGGGCGTCCTGTGCATGGTACTGATAGTCCCTTACTCAGTAGTTACCAGGCACGACCAAACTCTAAGGACAGGCCAGTAGGTGTATGGAATGTTGACGGTGAAGTTCTCAGACAGGCATCTTTATCACTCAGGTATGCAATGTCTCACATTGACATAATACACGGTATCAAACAGGAAGACTGTTTTTGACCACATTTCCAAGCATCAAGAAGTAATATATCAAACACGAGAGACAGTGTTTCATCAGGATATCGAAACACCGAGAAGAGAGTTGAAAATATGACATGCAGGGGGAGTATTTTTGACGAAATTTGAGGTGTTTGATATATCTTCTCAATCGAAAGTAAAACTAAGAAGTAAACGGAGAAATAAAATCGTCAAAATCTATGCTAATTAAGACCTGGTATCCAAACCTCCTTCAGGGCTGTGATTTTCTTTGTTTTAACTTGATGAATTATTAATGAGTTTGAGAAGAGAGGTGAAAATATGACGCATGCAGTAAAGGGAGTATTTTGGTGAACTTCAAGGTATTTGGAAATGTGAACAAACACTGTCTTGAGTGTTTGATACATCTTCTCGATCGAAACTAAAACAATGGAGAAAACGGAGAAATAAAATTGTAAAAATTTTGAATTTTACACGATTTTTCGTTTCAGGTGCAAAATTTACAAAACTGCAATTTTTCGTTATCTTGACAATTTTTCGTCATTGCAAAATTTTATTTACAATTTTTTTACTTCTTTGTGGTGCTAATTCCACCATCTAGAGCTGGCTTGCGGATTTCACAAAATTTACGTTTTTTCGCCAACTCACTTCCTATGTGTACAATCTTTTTAAGTGAAAAGCTGTCTTATTAAATGATTGTTTATTTCTTTTCTTAATTTCCAGTAATTACTTTTTCGTTTTTTTTTCAGGGTGCACAGACAAATTGTCACCTTGTTTGGAAGTGGCATTGAGGATGTTACCAGACAAAAATGTTGCTTCCTCAAATAACTAAAATAATATGAAGATGTTCTCTCATTTTGTTTCGTCTTAGCCACAATTTATTATCTTTCAACTTGCCTCCTTTCTGCTTTCGGCCGCTATTTTAACAATCGAAATTACCTCGTGAGGTAGTCCAATCGTAATCAGAATAAACATGTTTCGATCATGATTTGCACAATGCACTACTTGATCAATGTGAACAGTATTTGCAGTGAAGCATGTTTCATTTGTGACCAGACTAAACTCTTTTAGGTCTAGTGTGAACATAACATTAGATTTCGAGCAGGCTCCCTTTTCTTAGACCGACCAGTGTGATGTTAGCCTCCTACGCAGACGCTCTTTGAGCTCGCACGAAACCTACCGCCTCGTGCGGGAGGAGGATTGCGTGACGAGCCCAAAGAGCATCTACGCGGGAGGCTAGTGTGATGTAGACGACGAGTAGTCCCTCTTTCACATAGTCCATCGTGCGTGACGCGAAAGAAAACCGCGAGAAAACAAAATTAATGCGGCCACTTTTTCCTCGCGGTTTATTTACGGTGTCGCTCGACAGACAAAGCGAAAAAGGGGCTACCCGTAGACTAAGTTGTGATGTGACGCCCTCGCAAGTCCCAATTTTTTCTGTCACGCATTCTTTTGCATCTCGCGTGATGGACTAAGAAAACTAGAGGGGGAGTGCTGCTGGAAGTCAGCGGGAGGGAGGATGCAGTGTTTGTCCATATTTAAATGCAATCGAGATCCTTCAGGTTTCTTGTAGTTTTATTAACTTTATAACTAAAATCTGTTTTTGTAATGTATTCATTTATTTTTGTTTGTTTACTTTTTTGTTTTATTTATTCGACCACAGAGTGGCAAGATTCTTATGCAAAGTATATGGATTGATCTATGATGCAAACGGAATTAAATTTTATTTTGTATTTCTAGCACTTGTACTTTATGCTCTGACACTCAAATTGCTATCTCTTCTTGATGCAAAAGAGTTGATGAATACGTATTAAAGTAGAACAAAAATGAGAGAAATTGCTGGAGAAATCAATTGTGACAATGGCAAGTGACAGCTACATTGCCGGGTAGAATTAAGAATTATTAATCCAAGAATTAAGGTTGTTCTTCTCCTCNTCGAAAAAAAGGCGTTACACCGGCAGAAGTGCGCCATCTCAAAGGATGCTTTTACGATTCGTGACATTTGAAAAACCTTCGCGCCAACCCTTAAGTCCGCCCCCATGGGGCTTCCGCTGGGGACACTAAGCCTGAGGCACTCCATTCCCGCAAAACGGGTTATCTCGATTCTTTCATCGCAGTTTAGACGCATTTGGCGACGTTGGGAGAACATCGACCTTTGCACTCGTTATCGCGAGCGACATTTTGCTCGCAGTTTAGAGCATTTGGCCTGAGTAAAAAGGTGTCCACTNACTTTTCCGCGCTCTAAACTCTGTTGGACTACAGAAATGCTCATAAAATGTTCAATGCCTAAACTCAAACGGCACCATCAATGAAGCGAGTGGTTTTACGAGTGGTCTTTAATTGTTATTGATATGGTGTATAAGATGGTAGACCATAGAATGTTATAAGCTATTTTCCTACTTAAATCACACGCGCATGACAGAACGAGAGATCAACGTTTCTGTGTGAAGATAGACTACGAGTAGCCTGAGTCTGTCCCTCTTTCGCTTGGTCCGTCGTGCGTGACACGAAAGAAAAAACTGCTATACGCGGCCATTTTTTCCTCGCGCTTTATTTACGGTCTCGCTAACGGACTAAGCGAAAGTGGGAATACTCGTAGTCGAGCATGAAGAAGTTCTTCGTCCCAAATTTTGCCACGTTTATGCCAGAATTTGGCTACTCTTGTCATTAATAATTATAATACATAAAGTTACACCTTGCCTGCCATAGAAAAACATTTTCCTAGAAGTTTTCCCTGGTAGATTTTTGTCTGCCCTTGTGAGGGGTGTTATTGAATCCCTGTGTATCACCTGGGTCTTACCCTTGTCGGTTACACAGGAAGGTCTTAGCGTAGGTCTATTCAAAATAACGTTTCCATCAGTACGATCGGTACCGTGCGGCTTCTCTCGAAAAAGAAAAGGTTGATGCTGAAATGGTAATGATTCTTGCGACTACAAGCTCCCTACGGGTCAAATAACACTGTGCTTCTCAGCCCGAGTTGATCTAATAAAGTCTCTTAAAGCTATTGCCAAGACCATGGTGTCGAAGAAATTGACGAATTGTTATTTGTTGCTGTCATCACGGCATACATGCTGATTTTCAGATGTCCGTTCACAGTTCCTGAAGTCCGGGCTATGAACTCTTTCTTCTCCGCCCTATGTAGGGGTTGAATCAAGGCTCAGCCTCTATATAGGGCGGGGAAGGGAGAGCTCAGGAACCGCACTACTGTCCTCCATGTTGTACAGTTTTCGCAGCACAAAAATTTGAACTAGTGTGATTACCGTGTCAAGCTGACTTAAGCCTCTTTATTCCAGGAAGGAAAATTAGACTCGAGAAAAGTTGAAATGCTTATAAATTGTTTGGAAACAGGAAAGGACATTTGTACTGACTGGGTCATAATAAGTTATTGTAGTAGAGTTTACCATTCATGTTATTGTAGTAGAGTTTACCATTCATGTTATTGTAGTAGAGTTTACCATTCATGTTATTGTAGTAGAGTTTACCATTCATGCGCGAAACTCGTGGGAAGATGTACTCGACCCACCACCTCCGACCGAGAGACATGAATTATGAACCGGCCAATACCTTTCCGAAGTAATTTAAGACTAGACTAGAAGGGTCAGTCATCAATGAGTTTATAAATAAAGGAAATACTTTAGGAACGTTATGTTTACCAGCATTTAGACAACATTCAAGTGACTGTTCGTAACGTTGGTTTTAATATTTATTATTTGACTCTACTATAACAGACAAAATTTCTTTCACTTGCATTGCGGGTTAAAAAAAATCAATCGATTTCACACACGTGTAAATTACGTACCACTGTAAGCATCGCGCTTGCCGTTGGGTTGTTTCCTCGGGCGGTAGGATCATAGCCCAATTGGGATAGCATTTGCACAACGGTTGTAAATGTATTCCAAAGCCTTCACTCCCTTTTGTGCTTTCTACACTAACCTTTGAACTGAAATATAATTATGAACCTCCTAATGTTTTTCTTTATGCTACCGTAAACTTCCGAAAGTAACGACCCTTGTTACCTTCGGAATTAGCAGCCTTTGGGGCTCGTTACTTTCGAGGAGCAAAAAGCGTTATATAAAGTTGGTACGACTGGGCTTTTCCAGTTTAAATCTATATTGCTGCCACATGGCTGAGCTCTTCATGTCTAGACCGCGTTGTGAGTGGTGGGCAGGAATGCTAGTTATATTAGATACCATAAACTATTTCTACTTCATTTACGCACTGCTACGTTAGTCTGATTTAACAATATCTCGGCCGAGTTTTAAATTTAAATTTGAAGAAACGTTCTTATTTATACGCTCTTGGTGAAAATGGTGTTAATTTGAATCAAAGTTCCCTATATTACGCTCCTGTTACTTGAAGACGATTCTTTCTACGGGTTTTGTTTTAACTGGGCGAGACATTAACTCATGTGATGAAGCACGAATTGGTATTTTCACTACGCTTCGTGGCATAAGCAATACCTTCCCTTGTTGTGGAGTTCCTTAAATCAAGTTACCATACCTAACTTGCACCTGACTATTGATTGGAAAAATAAATATACTATTTAACCTGGGTCTCACTATTTTCGGGGAGGGGGTGTTGGGGTGGGGTCGCTGTTTTCGGAGGGCTCGCTACTTTCGGGATTTATTATACATTGAACTCAGGCCCAGTTCAGACATCGTGCTTCTGCCGTGCCGAACTAAATTCAGGAATTAAGTTCGACAAAAGCACGNTCGGAGGGCTCGCTACTTTCGGGATTTATTATACATTGAACTCAGGCCCAGTTCAGACATCGTGCTTCTGCCGTGCCGAACTAAATTCAGGAATTAAGTTCGACAAAAGCACGGCAGAAGTACGGCGTCTGAATCAAACTTTTGAATTAAGTTCGACAAGCTTTGCCGTGCTACACGACTCTGGCACGGCAGCGATTCAAACGTCGTGCTTTTCCTTCGCTAAACAAAATTCATATATTATATTAACGTATTTTGGCGGGTTGCGTTCCCACGGGGAGTTAGGAGGAGAATTGTTACGCGGCATCAGTAAATTCCGAATTTGGTTCGACTCTGTCGCGACGTCTGAATCAGAGTTGTTTTCCTGCCGTGCTGCGGTCGAACGTAATTGCAATTTAGTTCGGCACGGCATAAGCACGACGTCTGAACTGGGCCTCACTAACTCTTTTTTGATTGGCCGAAAGCGTACAGTGAATTTTCGAAATCAGTGCCTCTGACGTCATCTTGCTATAGATTATACAATTATCATGTCAAGGACACTCAAGGTCACGGGTAATCGATAATCATGTCATGTATGACCGCAGTTCTTTTATTTTCCTTAGTTTAATCATGTCAAATTCGCGCGCTTTGTGTTGCTTTCCGTCAGTGAAGAAGCAAAACCATGACTTCCAGTTTTTTTAGTTCAATGTATAATAAAACAATTATTAGATTCGGTTTTTGTGATATCTAGGATAATCAAGGTCTCGGTAAGAGTTATCAGCCTCAGCCTTCGGTTTCGGCTGATTACCTCTACCTCGACATTGATTATTCTGCATGTCACAAAAACCTCATCCAATAATTGTTTATTATTACCTGCCACAATTTGTTGACGTTACTTTCGGGGGATCATTACTTTCGAAAGTTACGGTATATTACTTGCTGCAACAGTCGACAACAGCAACAATCCTTTTAGTTAATTATAATTTAAATACGATTTTGTTCAAAGCAACAGGTTTGCTTGTGGGGTCGTGTATCAAGCTAAAAGTTAAAGAAAAAACAAACATGTATAGTAATAATACCAATTATATACCTATATAATTTACATTAATAAAACTTAAAATCCATCACGTTCTTCCTTTGCGTTTGAATCGAGGTCGCATTGAAGTCTAACTGTTTAATAAGGCATAAACTTCCTGTTCAGGTCGTATTTGCTACATTCTCAGTACACTTTCAAACATATATCTTTAATAAGTAGCCGAATTGTAACTAAATCAGGACTTCAAGGGGCAAACCTGGGGGAAAGTAGGATCGAACGANTCACCTACTAAAGCCGGCGGGACTGTTTCAAGGGACAAGGAGAATGGGCGAAAGGCAAGTCGCTGACACCTTAAGACTAGCTGCTTCGCGTAGATGGAGCTATTGACACTGGAAAGGCAGTTCGTCTAAGGGAAGCAAACCCTGATTCCAAACCTCCGCTGCCCTGCGGCCATATCCAGACATGAAAACGGCTGTGGAAGTAAATCCAGACAAAATTTGGAGTAGAGTCCTTGTGGCGGTTGGTTGTCCATATTGACCTCCTCCTGACAACTCGTACAGCTAAACCGGGCCCACACGTAGTACGCTAAATTCCCTCGGATGTCGGCGGTGCGGCCGAGAGCGGGACTCTGTTGATGCAGCTCAAGATCTCGATACACCATCTCCTAGGCGGGGTCACTCCAGTCTCGCCATCCAGTGAGAGCAGACAGGAGACAGCAGTTATGACTTAATATACCACCCTTCTCGACTGGTCTAGAGTTGGATGCCACGGGTTGTCTTTGACGGTGGAAGGGATCATTTCATGGGAAATCAGCAATTATCTAAACACCGGAGCTATAAAGACCATTTGACTCATTAGCATATGATAACTACAGAGACTGACCCCATGCGCCAATGCCCATCTAAACCCGTGTAATGACTTTTAGTAGCCACAAAGATAATTATCACGGTTCGCTTGTGATAAACTACCCAATAAGGCGAACGGAACAAGTCTCACCATAGTTACAAATTAATTCTTTCATGTTGTCTAAACGTTAGAAGGAACCGGACGTAATGTTACAACACCTTAATTATCCAATTTCCGCTCAATTATCTGTCAGTGGTCGCTTACGGGAGGTTAAAAACAAAAGAAAATTTTTAACTTTTAGCTCAAAAATGGTCGCGGTCGCTTACAAGAGGTTCCAGATATGGTGGTGTGGTTGCAGAGGAGTGGTGGTCGCAACCGGAGGTTCGACTGTAACTCCACGCATCGTGAGCTTGGTCCGCCAGTGATGGGACGCGATTAGAAGAAAACAATTATTTATCTGCAACATATGCAAAATTAAGCTTGCAGTAATTTGAAACTTTGCAAAACAAACCAGGGGAGTATTAGGTAATGCTAAACGAAAACAAAATGACGAAATTGCACTGCGGTTAGCCTAAATTAGCCTAAATATCACGTACACTGACTCGACAGCGTCTCTTAATAATCGTAAGGGTAAATAACACAATAAACATTCCAGACATTTTTTAGTGTTCAATGTTTTATGGGTTTGAAAATACTGACGTAGTTAACTTCTTGTTGTTGTTGTAGATGTTCATCAAAAGGAGTGACTTTCTAATTCTTACCTATTCTCATGAGCTCATGAACGAGAAGGACCCTAAATGGTAACCATGTTTGAACTTTGACAGGCTTTTCTAAGTTTTCTGGGTCAAGATCAAAATGTCGCCCTCCCGATCACGGTGCATCTCCAACACCTCCAGCGGGATTTGCAAAGGAGCCATTACATATGGGTTATTGACCAACTGAGAGGTCAAGATGGCTGGATATTGGTCAAGTTCTGTTTTTTTGCGTGTTTATGGACCGAGACGGAGTCGAGGTCCATAAACTCGCAAAAAAAGAACGAGGCCAACATCAAGCCATCTTGACCGAGCAAGCTTGGTCAATAAAGGATTTATTATATGGCTTTATTATATGACGCCATTTAGGGAAGTTGTCTCTCCTTCTAAGAGAAGGGAGAGCTTTCCCTTCTCTTAGAAGGAGAGACAACAGTGTCGAATAACTTCCCTATACGACGTCAGAATGGCTTCAAACTCGGCACAAGAGACAAGTACGCCACACATTTGAGGTAGGAAAGCTTAATTTCANGTCAAGATGGCTGGATATTGGCCAAGTTCTGTTTTTTTGCGTGTTTATGGACCGAGACGGAGTCGAGGTCCATAAACTCGCAAAAAAAGAACGAGGCCAACATCAAGCCATCTTGACCGAACAAGCTTGGCCGGCTTTATTATATTATATGGTCGGCTTTATTATATGGCTTTATTATATGACGCCATTTAGGGAAGTTGTCTCTCCTTCTAAGAGAAAGGAGAGCTTTCCCTTCTCTTAGAAGGAGAGAAAACGGTTTCGAATAACTTCCCTAAACGGCCTCAGAATGGCTTCAAACTCGGCACAAGAGACAAGTACGCCACACATTTGAGGTAGGAAAGCTTAATTTCAAATGAGATAGTTATTTACATAATTTTTTCACGATCGGTGACTTTTCACATACAATACTTTATATACACAAGCTGTCCCATACACCACGTAGGCAGAGTCGAATTTTGAGCTTGGGGTACCTGTGGTCAAAGTTTAGCTAGACTATGAGTACGTTTCGTTTCGCGTCACGCACGACGGACTAACCGAAAGGGGGACTACTCGTAGTCTAACAGAATGTTCGCTGCCAAATTTCCTGGCAAACGGCTACCGTTTACGCGTCTTCCTCTCTTCTGTCCCATTTCTTCCTTCGTGCAGGTGCGATTTCAGCGAGCAGAAGAGGTCCAGTCAAGATCAGAGGTCGATCATGACGAGCCGCTGCCCTTCGATCAAATACCAGGACCCCATGGTAGATATGCAACAGCAGTTGAATTTTATCGTCAAAGTAATGGTTTTAAAAAATTCTACAAGATACCTGAGAAACTGTTTAAGGTCTATGGTCCAATATTTAAGCAGAACGCCACAGACAAGGTTCCTGTGGTCCATGTTATGGAGCCAGCTGACTTCGAGACTGTGTATCGAGCTGAGGGAAAATACCCGAACAGGCCACCTCTAGATTTCTTAATTGAACATCGAAAAAGAAATTCGCAACCCTGCGAAATGGTCATATTGTGAGTACTAATGATGTTTGAACTTTATTGCCTTTCGACATAATCAATCGAACGTTCGGAAATCATACTCAATCGAACTCAATCCGTGGATTGAGTTCGATCGAACTAAATCGACCTAAATCGAACACCAAAGTTAGTGTAAGCTCGGTTTCAATTTCCGAAGAAATCGAACCCAATTAAACTCAATCATTGAATATTATACAATTGAGTTCAGCAACCGAACACAATCAAATTCAATCAATGGGATTGTGTTTGATTGTGTCCAATGAATAAATCTGCTTGAACAAAGGTCATGGTGGTTTCAAATGACTGTGGTGTAAGCTCTGGTAAGCCTACATACAAAGCAAGCATAGGCCTACAGGCAGGGTGTGGGGGTTGGGGGGGGCTGCAGCCTGCAGAGTATGGCAGGAGGAAGCCTTCAAGAATAGTTGTTTGATGCTTTGTGAGACTGTGCCCCCCCCCCCCTGGCTTTCGATGGAGATAAATTGAAAGTCAACAGCTTCTAGATTGGCTCTCTTTCAAGGTGACTTGTAAACGTACATCCCACTTCTGACAACCATGCAACATGTTTGCAAATGTGCAGGATGTCCTAGAATATGCTTAAGCGCTTAACAATTCTCAACTTGTCAACAAACTCATGCGGTGCATCCAATATGGCAGACATCATAACAACAACAACAATGCCTCATGGCATAACTAATTAACTCAGGTGATGTGACATTTAGCAGTCAAGGTATCTTTCAGGCTGCACTCACAGGAATACTATGGAACCACTCACCTGCAGCTCGGGGTTCCACAGCTACTTTGACAATGTTATGACCCAATTTATCATCAATAAGAGGACAGATGCATAAGAAACTGATGTCAATTTGTTAAATTAAAAACACATGATGGTAGCCTCTGTGGTGGACCTATGATATACACATGAGGAAAAAACATAGATTGTAAGATTTGGGAAGTCAAATATCTGGTAGGGTTGAATCTGTGACAACTCCAAGTTCAAACCAACAGACCAGGAATCCCTGCTGATTACTTCAATGTTTATTTTGCCAAGTCCATGACAGTATAGTCAAATCTGTGTCACCTTTTTCCAATCAAATTGCACCACAGGTCTCCCAAGTGTCTTTAGAGCTGTGAACATTGAATTGTGTGCCACAAGGATTCCAGTTTTAGTTGATACTGTTTTCCTCTCTATAGTTGTAATTATATAGAAAGGACAACATTGAAACTAAAATTCGATGGAATCACTTTAAAACAACCTCAAAACTTCACAGAAACACAATTTGTACACAAAAGAGTCTAGGTAAGTCGTTCTTATTGAATTTATTTCCCATATTTCAAACGATTATAAAAAAAATTGTTACATTCCCATACATACTCATGTTAATACTTAATTACACCATGTTAGGCAACTGAGAGTAATATATTTAAACCTTCATGGCCCCAAGGAGCTTGGGAGACCTGTGATTGAAAGTGTATTGTCATACACTTATATTCACCTACATTGTATTCATGGCTTGATTGTTAAATTAATGACAAAATAGTCAAAACTGTGATGTTATCATCAAGTTTTCTTTTTCTTTTTTCTTTGAAGTCAAATGCCAAGCTGTATTAAGCGCAAAAATGAAACTTTTTTACTCACCGGTAGGAATATATTCCATCACCTGCTTAAATGCTTTTACCTCACAGAAATGGTGAAGAGTGGAAGAAAATTCGACAGGCTGTGGCTCCTAAAATAATGCGGCCAAAAGCTTTAGAGGAAAACATTGACAACTTCAACAGTGTTGCAAAAGATGCTATAAAGCAACTGGCCAAATTAAAAGGGTCTGGTGGACAAGATGGAGAAGTTCCTGACTTGGAAAGAGAGCTACAGAAATGGTCAACAGAAAGTAAGTACAATTAAGAGCAGGCAGGTCAGATGGGCAGTAACCCTTTGCTTACACCTTGATGTAAAATTACACTATAGATATGAGTATGACTTGACTCCTGTGCCAGCCGTAATCAGCGGTGATGAGTGTTGGCCTTTGTTCCACTTCTGACGTCATGACCTTTGACCAAAATTGGCACCATCTATACTCAAGGTCCGCAGGAGGAAAAGATCTTTCCAATGATACCTGGATCAGAGTGGTTGGCTCAATAGAGCCTGAGATATGCATGGAAATGCTCAGAAATTTGAGTGAAAAACTTGCGGCAAAATTTCCTGCAACTACACTTATTACTACTCCATGGTGAAAATTGCCATCTCAATCATGCTTTCAGAGAAATTTTTGAACTGGAAGCAAGCCTAGTAGAAGCTCAATCACTGCAGCAAAAAGATAAGAAAAGGAGAAAAAGGAAAGGCGAAAAAAAAATTAAAGAACCGAAAAGCCTAATTTTGAAAGAAAATTAGGTACTTTGAAAGAGTTTGATTTCTGCGCATGCCCAAGCAAAAATGTCGTAAAACGTGTTGCTAGTGGAAAGAAAGGCATGCTGTCATGTTGCAAATGCCTTTTTGAGTAGATTGGAGCTAATTTGGCTGAAAATCTCCAAAATGTCCAAAAAATGTGTTTTTGGCAAAAAGTTCCAGGAGTCAATGGGTTAATAATTACAGCAAATCACTTCTTGACAGGGTTGTGAACAAATCCTTCAAACTGCACTGTAGTACAAAGAATTTATATCCAGTTGCAGAGATATGGTGAGATTTGGCATCTTACCTTCTGTGTCAAACTTCCCCTTACCTTCTTTTATATACTTTGAATTTTTACTCTGTTATTTTCAACATTTTAGGTGTGGGTACTCTGGTTCTTGATGCTCGCATTGGATTGTATGATGACCCACCCAGTGAAGAAGGTGTGAGGCTCATTCAAGGAGTGGAAGATGTTGTGGAGTGCATGCAGATCCTAATATTCGGATTTGTGGAGAAAAACCTGTTACCTTATGTGGATACCCCCTCATTTAACAAATTTTGCAAAGCAGTGGATAGTAATGATGAGGTCTTGAGGATTTTTATTAATAAGAAAATTAAAGAACTTGAAGATATGGCCAAAAGAGATGATTTGCAAGAGAATCAAAGTGAGTTCATTAGGCTTTCTTGATCATCTCTAGTTCTACTACTAACTGCAGTCACACTTAATTTTAATCTGGATTACCAAAACTAAGAGAGCTAGGATTATAAGTCTTGACACATCCTCTCATATTTTGACCTATATAAGAAAAAACCTTGAATATGCATGTTTCCAGCCTGTGATCAGTTGGGATTACAGGGGTTTCATTAATGTTTCAGCAAGAGGGCAACTGGTCTTCACAGGCAGGAAAAACTTTTAGAACTGTACTTCTTTGTTGGAAAAACTTTCCTCTAAATGGACAAACCAGGCAGGTAAAATCATACTCACAGCCGGTGAATTTGCCTGGTGCCCAGCTGAAACCCCTGGGATTAACAGCACAGCACAGAATTGGATTGCTCATGCTGCAGTACACTGTCATCACTGTCACTTCTGAGTAGACTACGAGTAGTCCCTCTTTCGATTAGTCTGTCTTGCATGATGCAAAAGAAAATTTCGAGAAAAAAATGGCCACGCGAAATCCTGGGGGCGAGACGCATGCTTCTCGCCCCCAGAAGTTGGCACGGCAATTTTTTTCTCGCAGCTTTCTTCTGCGTCACACACAATGGACTAAGCGAAAGAGGGACTACTTGCAGTCTACTTCTGGGTTGTTGATGTATTAAGATGATATCACTTTATATTCTAATGTCACTTGCCTTTGTTAATCGTGTGTTGGTATTGTGCTGAGAAATTATATTTTGATCACCTGGGAATGCAATGCACTGTTATTGATCCTTCTTCTTTTGAGACACATACAGCATAGCTAGTCATACGAAGCACTGACAGAATAATTTTGTTTCATCCATGCAATTTATAGCTGTTCCATTATTAACCTACCTGTTGGCTAAAAAAGAGTTGACGCTTGAAGAAGTCTTCATGACTGCAGGAACTGTGATTTCAGCAGGGGTTGATACAGTGAGTATGAGTACATTTTTCTACAAGAAAAAATTTAACGAGGAGGTCATTGTCCCCTAGGTTCAATGAAATGATCATTCCTTGGACAGCATTATCTACAGTCTCCTTCGATACCATGTGTTTATAAATTGTAAAACTTCCAAGTTGGAGAAATTCCACTCCACAGTTTTTTTTACAATTTCGCACATGCAGTCCGCCTTTGCTGTTGAATATTTTTTGCATTAAAAAAGTAGGGTCAGCAGATCAGTTTTTGAGATATTAGCTTCGTGGATAAGATATATTAGCACGCGTTCTACGCCCAAATTAAAATCTCGACTTTGCAAGATCGCCCCCTGCGCATGCGTAAAGGCGGTTCGCTGATCAGTAAAGCTCGCAATTCCACGCGAGTAATTAACACGTAGCCCGCAAGGGCAACGGGTCTATTTGTTTTAGTATCACCCAACTAGTCGGACAGAAAAGGCAATAATAAAGTTAGCAAATGCAAGTTGAAGAAATATTTATTTGGGAATAAAACGAAAGAAAGCATCACGCTCGATTGCGCCAATTTCGCTACGCGAGAACTATTACTAATAGTCCCCTAGTAGCGTAGCCAATTGAGATGCAGGATTAGCATTAGTCCACTAGTTGGGTGATACTAAACGCGAATAGTCCGCGAATAGTGTTTCTTTGTCGCTGTTGTCGTTAGCAGCATCAGTGGTGGATCTAGGGGAGGGGCTTGGCCCCCCGCGTTATTTTGGGTGAAAAAAAAAGAAATGCTGAAGGAAGAAAAGCCGGCAGAGCAAGTAAAACTAAACCGGGCCCTCCCCTTAGCTGAAAGTCTGGATCCGCCACTGAGCATAAGCGGTAAAAGAAGAGTGCCGTAAATATCCGGAGGTGAGACTAGCCAAGTACAAATAACGAAGAAAACCTAAAGAGTAGATTTTTCACAATTTTCGTTTACGTTCCAGCACAGCGGTTTAAAGGGATGTTTTCCTTTGAAATTGCCTGAAGGATGGATGTTTTCGAAGTTAAAAATAACCTCGCACGCTATCTCGCGAACCCTTGGGCGATCGCGTGATGCGCTAGAGCCCAGGCGTCACACGGAAATATAACTGTTTTGAGCCACCTTAAAGTAATACCATGGAAAAATGTTGTGTCCTATGATTACATTATTGGAAGGCCCCTCCCGTGCAAAATGTTTACCGAGATCTCGGTCATCTCGCCACGATGTTTGTGTGTTTCTATTAAAATATCGGCGAGATTGGAGGCTCGTCAAAAAACTGGAGGTCAAAATTTGCTAGTTCACACGAAATACCTTCTTCATCCCCGGAAGAATTACTGGGTTTTTCCACATTTGAGGAGAAAACAAAAATAGGAATGATGGTTTAAAAAGTGGCAACATCGATGAAAAATTTTGCCGGGAAAAAATGCAAAACAAACTGACGTCAGCGTGCAACCCACTGGCAAATAGAGGGCTCTGAACAGTGTAATTTCTCTCAACATTGACATTGTGTTAACTTTCCTGAATTTTGCGAATTTATGATATCTGGATCAGCGTGTTGACATTTTGATATCTCGGCGAGATTGCCATGAAATGTCCCAGTTTTTTGGCCTCCGAGATTTTGATATCTCGATGAGAATCTCGGCGAGATTTCAAGATTTTGGCGGCCAAAAACTCGCCGAGAATCTCGGCGACATCTCGGCAAGTTTCCTTGAAACTTCGCCGAGTTTTTGGCCGGCGAAATCGCCGAGAGCTCGGTCAAAATATCGCACGGGCTGTGAAATGTTACGAATTTGGGGCTACTTTTTAAGATATTTATTAAGGAGGAGAAAGGAATGGGGATTTATTGAGATCTGAAATAGTCCAGATGGATACCAAAACCAGTCAGTCCCCCGATTGTAATGCTTTCCTTTTTAAAGTGAAAAAAAGTGTAGAAGGCTGCCAATTTGAAAATGACAAATTTGCCATCGTTGAAGCTCATTCGACTATTTTAACTCATTTTCAGCCAGGTAAAGTAAATTTTTCATTACTGATTGCCAAGTATAGAAGTATCATTTCACCTTATAGACTTCTTACACAACATTATGGATTTTGTACCATCTGGCGAGAAATCCTATAGTCCAAGAAAATCTCCACCAAGAATTATATAGCATTCTGGGAAAAGATGGAAACGTGACATCTGGAAACTTGGCAAAGTTGTCTTACCTGAAAGCTTGTGTCAAGGAATCTGCAAGGCAAGTGAATCTCTCAAGTACAATGTTAGCACAATCTTGTAAGTTGCAACTGATCATACCAAAAGTAGTTAAACTTTTACAGAACATCAAACAGTATTGCTTATTAATATTTTTCCACAAGAAATGTACTTTGGGTGGAGTTTTAGTTTAAATTTTCAAAAATCGACTTATCTTTGAAAAACAGGATAACACCAGTGGCTGCAGCAATCAGGAGAATACTGGAGAAAGATGTTGTTTTAAGTGGATTTTTAGTTCCTGCAGAGGTTTGTGATATCACTGATTGCAATTCGCTTAATTTTTGTTGTGTAATTTGGTGTTACATCAATTCCTAGTTAATTTTTGTTTTTGTCGTTGTTGTTTTTGAAACCTGACTGCGTGCGCTCGTGAACATTGTTAAAATACAGTTAGTTGTCTTGAAGATAATTATATTATTTTGGTGTAAGTGAAGTCCTTTTCCTGTGTTTATCATTTTACAGACTTTTATTCAAGTTGACTTTTATTCCACTGGAACCTCAGAAAAGCACTTCAAGAATGCTTTAGAATATAAACCTGAGCGTTGGTTGCGAGAAAACAAGAAAGAGATCCATCCCTTTGCAATCCTACCATTTGGACATGGGCCACGTATGTGTGTTGGTAGGTATTCCTAATTATAAGATGAGCCCTCTTTTACTCCTACCCACATCTGCGTTTTTATTGTTCCAGGATATTTGTTCATTTATATTTTCTTCATGTTTTTTTGGTCTGTTTCCTTTTTTTCTGTGTACCTAGACATTATTCATCCAAGTTGCCCAACTAGCAAGATCCTAATAATCTACACATTTCGAATTCATCAATTTAGGTCAGGAGATGTCCTGCTGAAGTGGAAATTTGCCAGCAAATGCCCTCTTACTGTTTTTTCTTGGATTTGTCGTGAAAGTTTTTGTATAAAAAAAAACAAAACAAAACAAACAGCACAATCAATGTATTCCGTTTTGCAATCGTGTTATTGGATAGACTTGAATTTCTGTTACTGAGGAGAATTTTCTTTTTTGTATTTCATTTGCTTTTGTTTTTGCAATTAATACACGTAAACGAAAGTATTTCAAGAATACACTACACTTGACTACAAAAATATAGAAAAAAAAACTAACTAACAAAAGAATTTGTTTTTGTTGCAGGTAGCAGAATGGCAGAGTTAGAAATGTATCTTCTGGTTGCCAAGGTAAAATTCACAATAAACAACTTGTTAGATCTTTAACAGCACTGATATTCCAAAAAGCCTCTGTGACATTTAAAGAAAACAGTGAAGAGCTTTTAGGTTTGAATGCACCGTGTCTGACGTCAGAAAACTAGACCCGTTAACCTCAGTTCGTGAAACATTGCGACCTTAGACATGCGCAATGCATCACCTCTTTTGTGTTTGTTTATGTTTTCATCCTTTTTTAACGAGTGATAGTTTAGCTAGAGGTAGTTATAGCAGTTAGTTGGGAAAAAATATAATTCACTCGCTCGGTCAGTCAGTCAGTCGATAGGTCGTAAACTTTTTTTGGTGGTAAATTCCGCTGACCAGGGTATTTAGTGAGAGGGGCGGCATTCGCCCAGCTATAGTGAACAAAATAGCTGCCAAAGCGATGAACTGAAATTTCGCGTGTGGAGTCGAACAGTTGCTCCCATAGTCAGGACTATTTGGTTCACAATAAAGGCGGGCGAGAGATGGGTAGGGAGAAAGCGCCCTGAGGGTCAACCTCAAGGCCAAACTCGCACCTCTGACGTCACGTCGTGCCTCAAACTGTATGAAGTCTAATACCGTTGTTTATTTCCTTGTAGCTAATTCAACGATTTCGTTTGGAGTATCACCACGAACCACTGGAAATGACTCAGAAACTTCTCGCAGTGCCTGAAAAACCCGTCAGAATCAAGTTCGTAGAGAGATACTAAGCGGAATTTGATTTCTTTAAACTCGTTTACTTTGATGGAGGAAAATAGTGTCACTTTCGCACTTAAACACAATTTTATTTGTATCTCGTGTACTAAAATAAAGTCTGTAATATATACAATGCATTTTTAAACATTAACTGGTTAGCAAGGCACCCATGCAAAATAACTATAACTAGCTGGGTTAAAAAATAACTAGCTGGGTTCTTATTAAATAATACGATTATTAAATTTTGTAGGTGAAACTATGCAGAAATAGCTTTTTAAATAGGCAGGTAGGTAGATGAGTATCAAAATAAAAGTAGTAACATTAGTGGATGATGGGGTTGACGTCTTCAGCTTCTAGTCCATCAATGGAGATTGCGTCAGTGACCTTGGTATTACTGAGTGCATGGCACCTTGGACGCAGAGTCCGGTGTACCCTGAGACCTGATGTAGGCAGCTTCCGGCTATTTTAGATTTTCAGGCGCGGTTCTTTCTAATGATGTACCCACATCAGTGAAAGAAGCCACGTCGCTTTCCATTTTTAAGAATTCTCTTAGTTTTCATTTCCGCCATTAGTTTTCTACCAGTATAATACTTAGAATATACTTTGATTGTTCTCTTTTATTGTATTGATCTAGAAAATTTGTACTTCATACATATGTAATTTCCTTTTTATTCAATTTTCAAGCTCCTTGTGTATAACTTTGAGGTAATTTTTAAATTCTGAATTTTTTTTATCATGTAGTCTTAATTTCACGCAGGGCCCTTTTTGATACCAGCCTATGGTGATGGGGCTACCCTGCTTAAATAAAGATGACTTGACCTAGAGAGAAGGGCTATGTCGTCTTCTACCTTAGGCTGGACCTTGTCGTGGTGTAGAAGCCTGTTTGGCTCAATGATCTTAAGAGCTGTGCTGAGCGGGGCGCATGCTCCATGGCAGGTTCAACCACGTCAGAGAGGTCTTGAGTGAGAGTCCTGACAAAGCAGTCCAGTAGTTTCTTGATCTGAAAATCAGATTGGGCGGAGGAACAACCTCTTCCCACACATAATCAACCCGCTACAGAAACTACAACTATACTGTATACATATACATAAGTTCTGAAGTTTTATAGGCGTGCAACTTTCGAAGGTTCGCCACTTAAAATAACACTGAAGTTATTAAAATAGAAACTTAGACTGTTTGAAGTTTGCTTCTTCATGTGGACATTATAATGACCATGGTGAATATCAGTTCCCCTTTTGGTTCTGTTCTGGGGTTTAAATTAACATTTGTTTTCGTTATCGTATTGTATTGTATTGTATACCAAATTCAGCGGATTAATCGCCGCGTCTCAGATTAGCGCCATCAGAAATTCATTAACCCCCCTAGCGATAAATGGAATCATACTGTACCGTAAACTTCCGAAAGTAACGTCAAAAAATTATGGCCGCTAATAAATCCCGAAAGTAGCGAGCCTACTCAGCCCCCACCCAACCGAAAGTAGTCAGGTGAAAGTTACCGTACGGTCACTTGAAAAAACCAAATAGATTCCAAATCGAGAGCGGATAATCTAATTGTTGACAGTAGTAGTTTACCTTGGGGTATAAAAATATTGAATCTAAGGCATTTTAACTGACAGTAGCATTGAATCGAGTAGTTTTTTGCTTTGTTTTGAGGTGGGGGATTCAAAGATATTGAATCACAGGCATTTTCAACAACGCCTTTAAAGTTGCAGATGTCGCAATAAGCTATATTTTTAACACTATTTTGAACACTTACATTGAATAGGTTTTTTTTACAGAAGTAAAGCAAAAATATGTGTATTGTCAGCCGATTCACAAACTGACAAGTAGACAGGTCATGAGAATATAGGAAATGGTCAAATAAAGAATATTGTTTTCATTAATATTCTGCCAAATTCTCTTGACTATCTTGAAAGAAAATTACTGACAAGCAGTAGGGAGAATTTACAATTAAAACTAAAGATTACAATAGTAAGCTATTTAATGCACACTAACGGTCCCTGTAGTTTACTAGGAGCGAAACTGAGATATCAAAAGGTGTAAGGAAGATTGAGATCAGTCACGAACAAGAAACTTAATTTTTTTTTTTTTCAGGATGTTCGATCGATAATGGAGAATCTCAAAATCTATGTTGGACCTGACTACGGAGAGATGTCCGTCAGTTAATGGCCTTAAGAGGCCTAGTCAGTAATGCGAGTAATTCCCGACTTGGGAATTTTAATAAAGATGTTCATAACGGGATCCACGCGTAATAATTCTTGCATGTCTCGTAAATACATACCCCGCCATAAATACGTGCGCTTTTGATGATATGGTCATCGGTGAGATAAATCCCGTATATACTTGAGTAAGTATTCAAGGGGTATTTCACCCTGTCGAAGGACCTGGTAATGAAACTCGGGCAGAGAAAATTTGGGACCAAGTGTCTCTTCCATGAGTCTTCTCGCTTTGACAAATGTCATTTGACCAATCATGTAGCTAGTTACAACTCCCGGGGAGCTTTGGAACCGCGTAATGTCCTTGAAAGCCACAGTGCTACTTCCCCAAGCGTATTTATTATAAATGAGTTCAGCTTCCATCCGGGACATATTGTAGTAATTGATATTGACATCTAGAAAGCTTCGCAATGCTGCCAAAATCTGTAAACAAGAAATAAAGAAACGATCAATTAAACTTGCCCGACAACAAGCCGTACTTGGCCTCTACCAGGCGTTCAGTTAGTTAGGGTGCAGCGCGAAAAACGGTGAACGGGAAAAAAGAGGAAGAAGCGCGGCATTCCAAGCCCCTCTCTCCTTTCTTGGCTGAAGTATCGAGTAACAATTAACACTCACCACGGCTGTAAAGGAGAACAACAGTGACGATACAACAGCGTTATGGAAACGCTTACGGCAATTGTGTTGGTCTTATTATTTGTATTAATTTAACCATCATTACCTGATATTTTAGCATGCCGTACTTTTGTAAAACGGCGTTCTTGTTACTCTTGTTAGCTGTGTTACTGTAAATATCTGTATCATTCGTCATGAGTGGATATTCGGCGTACGTAGCCCAACCCTCAGTGAATCCTGGGAAATAGTTTGGCCGGCTTATCGAAGATATTACGTCATTGCATTTGCTTCGGAAAGTCTCCATGTAACTGCGAACCTATGTGAACAGAGCGGATAATTAGGGCAGCTTTCACTTGCTATAGTGAAAGAAACTTTTGAGCTTTGTCGTGCCAGACTTCACTTCCAGCAATCAGAACCTAAAGCCACAGCTACTACCTGTTTCATAACCGAAGATATCAGTCACTCCACCTGGCTCCCTACGATGTCGCTAGAACTTGTTACTTTAGCCAAACGTGAGAGTCTGCTAGCACCCTTAATTAAATTACCACAGTCGTGGAACGTACAACATCTCAGAGAGTTACTAATTCCAGGAGCCCATCACTAGGAGCTACCTCATATTCCTGTCAAGGCGTTTTCACAGACCGATCTATTTTTAATTTGAATTTACCGCGAATTCAGACCCGCAGGAACCTCAGTGACCGATCACAACGAGGTTGCGGAAGAAGTGATGGGCTCGTCATGTGAAGCCTAAAAATAGACCGGTCTGTAAAAATGCCGTGACATAGGCTTAGTATGGGAGTTGCATGCTCCTAGAGATTGGCTCCCGTTAATTCTTAATCCGCTTGCTAAGGTGACGCCCGAATAGTAATAAGGAAATATGTTGTTTTCTTACGGGCTCTACTCGTTCTCTTCTCATTTGCTGAAGGAAGGCTTTGTATTATGCATATGCTGTTAGGTACGCTGAAGGGTATGGCATTTTCTATATTTAGAGGCAAGGTTAATATTTGGTCATTGATATCCACTGGTCCTTCAAGCTCTCAAATTCCCGATTTCTGTGGGGGTAGAAGTGGGGATTTTTAGTGTCAGGTGCAAACGCCAATTTTTCCCGCGAAAAGCCCAGCTGTTGTACCACGCGTGTTATGTTTTGTACCCAACGCACTGGCAGAGTTACACATCTTCGTAAAATTGAAACTGCACCATAAACGTGGCCTTTTTTCGACAAATTCACCCAAGAAAGAAAGGAAAAATAACAGGTAAGAAAGTAAGAATTCTAATCTTAAAGAGGTCATTTCTGAACCAAGAACAATTACGACAATAAAAGAAACGAATACAAAACCAGTTGTTCTGCACCACTTTTAATTTAAAGACCCGGGTTTAAAACCTCTATTTTCATCGTTCTCTTTAATCTGAATTTCTTTTGCTCTTAGGGCTAGGGGCTTTGTTTCTCCATTTGTCTTTATCTATTCTTTCTTTTGCATAAAGAATCTTGTAAATGGTGCGAGTCGCCGGACATCGGCGGCGTTGGCAAAGTTAAGCTTTTTAAAGTTTAATTATTTTTTCTCGCTCGAGTAATTGTCATCCTACATTATTTTGTTTCCACTGGCAAGGTAATAAAACAACTGACTCATGTTTTAGGTGTGCACGGCTTCGAATTATATTACAGTTGAGAAATTTATAGAACACTAGCTGGTTACTCACGAACCTGAAGTTGCTCGTGGCTGCGCCTCCTACAACTCCGCACATTTTTCACTGGTCCCGAGGTGTTTTTCATTCCGAGAATGTTCCTAAAGACTACATCGAGGTAAGCATCAAATTTCGAAGAAACAAAAACTAACAGTTTTCCAGGGGAACAGTATTAAGTGTTGTTTTGTTGCTAAAGTTTTTGTATGACGAATGTTTTATTCTCACACACAACGCCTCCCTAAAGCTGAAAACGACATGAATTTATTCATTGAAAACACTGCGACGTTTTGGACAGTCGAATTTTGCCTTTCTTTAATTAGCTGAATACTTATAAAGTTTTTTTAGTAAATTAATACCGAAGAATAAAAATGAATGAAAAGACTCCAGCTAGTTTTGCAACTTTTTTCTGTTTATATTGTTTGGTCTTAAGTTTCGACTTTGTCCAGAGTCAAACTCCTCAAAAATATTAGCAGTCAAAACATTTTTACGTACCCGACAGAACCAAGTAAAAACCTCGATTGACTTTAAACCCTGGATTAGTATTAATCGGCTTTGGATTAAAGCTAAATAACTCAGTTCTGTTGAAAACTCTGTTTAAAGGGAATTACCTCAAGATGATGTCCTGGCAACTGCTCATGAGCAGACGTTGTCCACTCAGTGTACTTTGGACCAAAGTTATCAACAAAGAAAGGCAACATTTGCAGAGAGGGGTCTTTACAGTTAACACCAATGAACTCGCTGTAACTTTGAAAAACTGCCTCGGAGTGGTACCACGGGACTACCTTGATTCCACAGTCAGGTATGGTTTTCTTTTTCCCGCTGTCGTAAAATAACCTTGATAATTTTGGTCTGATAAGGTTCATGGTCTGTGTGGAGACGACAAGATATGTTATTGAGGCTGCAAGGTATTTTTCTGGGGGGGAGGGTATGTGATTCAATGCTACGGACTGAAAATACCAGATAAAATATTTGGCTTAGAAAAGATAGGTTTTTTCAAGCCTTTTTCACTGGTTTAGGGCGTGAGAAATTTTTACGCTGATTTTTGCCTTATCAGCTCCTAAATAATATAATATACGGGCTCTGTTTAGCTGAAAACTATTTGTCTCGATCGTAAACGAAGGTACCTAACGTGACGTCTGAAGGCAAATTGCGCCAATAATCAGAAATGCTTTAGTTGTTTAACGAAGATTGTCAAAAGTGGCACTGTGTTATTTTATCAAAGAAACAGGTGACAGAAGGTGAAGATGTTCCGTTGTGCTATGAATTTGGAGAATCCGCAACTCGACTTTCCCCAAACTTCACTGCTATGCTTTGGCATCGTGGCTAGCACAGAAAATAGTAATGCTGCTTTTCGATTTTCTGGAAAGAAAGAAGTACTATGTGCAAATAAAATGTAATGAGTTTCATGAATTCTTGGACACGAAATCAAAATTTTGACTTTGTCAAAAAAAAAAACACATTGTCAATGCTGCATTAATTATCACTCCACCTGGGCTACATTAGCAACTGCTGCTCAGAAAACTAGCCCATACTTAGGTCCAGAGATGGAGGTCGTTCAGTCGCACTATGGTTGTTTGCATTGCAGTCGCTTTTTTCATCCAACGCTTGAAGTCTCAAAACTTCGAATTTTGAAATTTTTTTTACAAATCAGTGTATGAGATCCATGATATCAACAAATGCTTCTCGTTTACCTACTTCATATGTTTATGGTTAGTCGCTACCGACATTATATCAACACAAATGCCGCCCGTCATACCCTAATTTGCACAGACTGAGGGCTAACTCTCAAACCTTCCTCAAATTCAAAGTCTGATAGCAAATCGATCAGTCAAATCAGGAACTTATAGTTATCATCTAGATCATAAATATGACTTACTTCACTCGTAGTTTCAATCCATTTTTGCATAGCTTTCCATCTAGTAGGACAAAACAATCGCGATCTCTGTTCAGCGGTGCACAGAAAAAACGCATCCTCTCCAGACTCATTTGCGGGGAACGGCTGTGCGTTAAAAAACATGTCTCGTGATTCCAAGACTTCTCTAAACTTTCTGACAGCAGTGCTGTTGTCTTTTTCTGTTGTGTATAACTTGGCGAGTGTTACGGCCTAAAAGGGAAACACACTGAATTGTTGTAACAACTATCACAGCTAACCTCTCCTTCACCCACACTATCTTAGGCGCCGTCCACACTAAGCGGGAGGAATTTGAACTGAACGGAGGTTTCACTCTGAAAACGCGTCAATTCAAATGTTTTCCGTCCACACTACTCCCGGAAGGAATTTAAAAACGCAACAATCAACGGTCATTTTGGATTTGTGTTTGAGGAAAACTCGGGCAGCGAAATCACATGATTACCGTGAATGTATTGTGTGTATGTGACGCCATCGTTTTTTCAAAAGCTCCATTTTTAAAATGTTTTTCGTCCACACGAAAACGAAAAGCCGGCGTATTCAAATTCCTCCGGTTTGAAGAGCGTTTTCGAAAACTAGCTCCGTTTCCGTGACGGATTAGTGGGACGGTAGGCCTAACCGTGGAAATAAAGCTGTGTTTTCAAATTTCTCCGGCGTAGTGGGGACGCTGCCTTACATACACCTTTCAATATACATAGGTTATGCACAGCTGATCATATGTACAGCTTATGTGCTCCTCTCTATAAACTACTCCAAAAAAACGTTATGGTTTTTGGAGGATGATTTGGAGAATGGTTCCTACTCCCTCTCCTTCCTCAAGATCAACGTTCATTAAAGGACACAGTCACGGTATTTTTGAGTTATTTTGGCCACGTATAAAATGGAGGCAACCTGAAAACAATAGTTTACTGAGCTAGAAAAACACTATTGTAATAATAATAAACTATAAAGAGACAAGTATGGAGAAGGCTGACCCAGATTAAACTCAGCCCAAAAAAGTTTAGGCTAAACTTTTCAAGATGCGCAAACCGTGACATATCTCCTTTAACAAAACTAGGGTGCAATTCATCTACCTGTGATAGCAAGTGGTCTAATCGCTTTTGAGCGATATCTTTGAGCTGTCTGGGCGAGATTTCGAGTGTCGTAAAAAATGAGAGCAGTTTCATATAAGCCTGAGCTCCGTTCAACTTGTGTCCTGAGGGCAACTTCTGAGTTGTTGGCTGATCACTTCTCACCACTCCATCGACGTACACGTGTGGAAGAGGGAGACTGGAGAGACCACTTGAGACCTTGCTTGGAACACAATAACGAAGGTACTCTGTTTCTAAAAATCTAGCAAAAAGTTGAATGTGGTCACCAGAACACTCAGAAAGAAACACATACCTTTCTGATACATTTATACAGTTCGTGAACATGCACACTCAGTCATTGCCAAGCAGCATGTTCGTCACTAACAATTCATCTAAACAATGCCACGGCTGACGTCGTTTTGAGTTCAAGTGAAGTGTTCAGTTATACATAAGGAGGTAGAAAATTGTACGGGACATTCTTCTTGAAAGAATTCTGTGATTCGATGAGAGAGAGAAACTTACAACAAATCTCATCAACTCAGTCAAGGTTTCATCTGAGTAACTTGATTCAAAATATGAACGGGTCAGCAATATATCAGTGTCACACCGGTGAAGCAGGTGTAGCATAAAATAAACAGCCGTTACAGAACTCAAAGAAAATACATGTAGCTCGACTGCAAGCGGTGAATTTTTTCTTAAAAGAATTCCAAAGCATCTGCGCTGAGCAAATCTTAACCTAACGCAAGAGCTTACCTTATCAAATCATGGAGAGGTTTTCCAAGATTCTGAACAATACAATGCTTCAGAGACTCTTCTACTGTTTCTTTAAACTGCAGTGCCCATGCTTTCCTTACTTCCGGCGTTAATTTGTCAAGAAACTCTCTGCTTAGAAGGATCTTTGCGACTTGTGTCTCAAGTATACCTGGTGAAGATCAAGTTGTTACGATTGCTGTTGCTGTTGTTGTTTATTGGCCGGTGGTGGTTTTGTATGTATTCGTGAAATAGTCCAGTCAGGTCAGTGAAACTGCAACTCCTCTCGGGAGTGAAGCTAATTTTGAGCAGTGTCCACAAACCAGATTAAAAGTTCTTGTAGTTTTATAGGGGAATATCAACGTAACCCCTCCCCCAGTCCCCAGCTATCGAACAATAACTCCTCCTATCGGGTACCATCGGTCGACTTTCAATTTGATTGGTTAGGTAGGTGTTGCCTACTATTCGATAAAGACAATAAGTCTTGTAATTAGCCGTGTTTATTGCTTCCTGTCATTGCCATGTTTCCAGTCACGCCAATTTTTTTAACCGTCATGGGAAAGAACTGCAGCTTAGTTATGTTAAGTCAATTTAAATTTCTCGCCCTTGGCTTTAACTGACACCTTTGTTATTTAATTGTCAGTCGATAAAGACTCGGCGGCCATACTGCATTTGTCCCCAGGGTCTTTCTTCTTCTCTTTTGCTCCCCGTGCCCCCTCTACCCAAACGGAGCGGAAATGTAAATACCATTACTTCTCCAGTAAATTGACCCTTGAGTGTCAACCCTTCAAAAACGCAAGAAGGTTTAATTAATAGCACTCGATACTGTCATCCAATATAATTGACGCATCCAGGCTTTTAAATTGCTGATATTTTCCATTGTATATGATATTTTGCCAAAAATGTCAACACCTACAAAATAAGAGAAACCTTAAAATATTGCAGTGGAAGCGTCGAATGGCCAAGTTGAAATACACCAAGTAATGATCGTAAAAGTAAACAATATGTAAGAAAGTCAAAATTAGTATTCATTGCTTACCACTTTCGTTTGACACCGCAATTGAGAAAAATCGCTTCTTGAATTCGCGCACTCCAACTTTGCAAGCTTCCACAGGCCGTACCATTCCAACTTTGACGGCACTCCGTAGATTTTCTTTATATTGTTGAACTGAACTGTTGTGTTGTCGTAAAAGATGAAGCAACTGTTGTATGTCACTCACACTTGCTGGCTTGAAATGAGGTAAACAGGATGCTAGGTTAGTCAGCAAATAACATACAGGCTGCCAACAGAAGAAGTTCGGTCCGAGCAACCAATCTCCGGAGTAATAATTCCCTTCATAAGGGCTCCATCCGAAAGCAACCTTTAAAATACTTTTCGCAACATGCATAGCTTTCCTTTCTCTTAGCCTGAGCTCACGCTCGTTCACGTTCGCATATACGATAGTTTGCAACTCGTTGTAAAGTGCATCGCTGGTGTCGGTTCTGTTTTTTATAGCCTCCGCTCGGAAATCGTACGGACGATAGACCTGACGAACTTCTGACGACGTTACGTCAGGTTTTGAGGCGATCAGGTATGGATGATACTTCTCGAACTCAGATCGAAGCTTCTGTAAAAACTGCTCCAAACCAACCCGCCTTGCTTCTTCGGAGAACGAACAGCTTGTGTCGTGGTCGTCTTCTACAGATTTATCCGAACTTGGACCCGTTCGAAACCAAACCACAATTACCACAACAATAATAGTGATGGCCGCTAATGATAACCCCAGAGCAACAAGTGAGCGTACAAAGCAGCGCTTAGACAAAGGCTTTTCCTTTTCATTGTTCACAAACTCCAATTTAGAAGAATTTAGATTCAGCCTTTTCTCTCGCTTAGAAAACATTTTTGCTAACGAGCGAGCGGTGTTATCACAGGCAAACCGACCAGTTTTGCAAGAGTGCGATAAACTTTAATGAAAATATTGACACCGTCCCGATTTTAATCATTCACTTTTCATTGGTTCTGATTAAAAGGTTGAAATGGGTCAAAAATGGCCAATCACCAAAAAATGTATGACACGCATGGACACGCACGACTAGTTTCAATTAAGAAACAATACGAATTGCTTTCCGGAGAGCGTAAGCTGGTGGAAAGTTTGCAATGCAATGCATGATGTACCCTTTGACGGCTTTCCTTCTTTACTTAAGAACAAATTAAATACTTCACAACAAATAGCAGTTAAAAATAAAACCTCCGAAAATTTCAACAAAAAGTGGAAAGACTTTATCTGAGTTTTTTTTTTTTTTTTTCATTTTACTTATTTAGTTAAGTTATTAATTAATTTAATTAATTCTTAATTTGGTGATTGTTTCCTACTCAAAATGTTGTACTTTGAATTAGTTTGTAATTCTCTTCTTTTTTGTATTTTTTTCTGTAACACACACCATTACCTTCTGTGTTATCTTTTGTATCTCCTTTAATTGTGCTATTGTAGTTCATGTTGTATCAATAATAATGATAATAATAATAATAATAATAATAATAATAAT